CGGGACCCAGATCCGCTGGTTGGTTTGTGGTTGGTGTTGCGGTCGTCGCTCAGGCTTTCCTGGGTGACTGAAAGCGGACAGGACCCTATCCGCACGCGACTCTAGAGCCGTAGTTCCCTTGCTAGTGCCGAGCCTGCCTTTTGGCAGCATAGTTCCTCCTCCGCGCTGTGCTGCCAGCGCTTGGGCTGCCGACGTGTGCTGCAGGCCTTTCTTGAGCCTTGGGCGGCTGCGGGATGTCTTCGCCTGCAGCTGGAGCTTCGAATGCTCCCCAGACCCCTCAAGGGGGGCAAAGCCCTGGAGGGGCAAGTGAGCAGCCTTTCTGAACCAGTTGGCAACTGCCGTTGCCCAGCTGGCCAAAGCTACGTCCTCGAGCGGTGCAGGCTCGAGCCAGTGGAAGGAGACAAAATACGTAAAGTCGCCGGACCTCTTTAGTCCGAAAACGCTTGAGGAGGAGACCTCTCAGTGGGGGGATTGGTCCTTCCACTTCCGCAATTTCATGACGATTCAGGACTCAGGCTACCGACAGGACTTTGAAAAATGCGAATCCGCGAGTGGCTTTATCAGCTTTACCGACTATGCCGTTGACGTCAAAGAAAGAGCTCTTCGGCTCTACTCCGTCCTCGCTAGTTACCTCAGAGGCCGCCCGCTGAAGCTCCTGCGGGCAAACAAGAATGGAGATGGCTATGCCGTGTGGAGGCAGCTTTGTGACGAGCTCCAGCCGCGCTCACGCCCTCGTGCGTTGGCGCTTGCACAGGCGTTGTCTCGCTTCCCTCCACACCGAGAGGGAAGCTCCTTGCTGGAGTATATCCTCAGCTATGAGCGTTTGATCTCGGAGTACGAATCGGTGTCGACCGAGAAGTACCAGGAGGATTTGAAGATCTCCACTCTCTTGGCAGGGCTCGCTCCTGAAGTCAAGCGCTACATGTACCTTCAAGTCAATGACTCGACGACTTATTTGGGCCTACGAGACAAGCTGTTGCAGTACGAAAGAACTTCATCTACCTGGACGGCAGAGAACATGCTGAAGTCGCTTGGTGGTGGCTACAACGCGGACGCCATGGATGTGGACCGGGTGGCAGATGGCAAAGGAAAAGGAAAGAAAGGCGACAAAGGAGCTAAAGGAAAGGGAGGCAAGGGCGACTATGGCAAGAAAGGCGACTACGGCAAGAAGGGCTACAACAACAAGGGTTGGAACCAAGACGGTGGCAAAGGCTATGGCAAGGGCCCACCAAAAGGTGGGAAAGGCAAGAAGGGAGATGGAAAGAAAGGCTCTCAAAAGAGCCAGGTCGAGTGCTGGAAGTGCGGCAAGAAAGGGCACTACGCAGCAGAGTGCCGCTCGAGAGCAAACCAGGTGACTCAAGATGATGACACCGCTTCTGTGCAGACGAGGGCAACTACCTCTTCTACAACGACAGCAAGCACTACCGCCCCTTCGGCCAAATCGCAAGTTCGGCGGGTTCATGTTGTGGACCTCGAGCAGCTCGATGAGGACCAGGAGATCGGTCTTGAGTTCCTCGGCTCAGTGCGCGTGGTGCAAGAGGTGGACGGCGAAGCTGGAGTTGAGCTTCCTTGCAGCAGTGTCCAGTGCTTTGTCATAGGAAGTGATGGTGAAAGTGATCAGCCTTTTGCCGTGGACTTGACAGCAGATGGTAGCGGTGAGTTTGCTGATGGCTTTGTTCATGTTCGTGCTGTTGCTGCAGACCCAAGTCTTCATGAAGTGATCTTGGACAGTGGAGCTGATTGCACCGTCTTGCCCATCGATTCGTTCTCAGATGTAGGCCATCACAGTCATGAGAGTTCGTTCTTGCTGGATGCGCAGGGCAATGAACTTCGGTGGTTTTCGAGGTCGAGGGTGAGGACGGTGAGGTCATTCAGTTCCGAGACAAGGCAGTGCTAGCTCAAGTACGTCAGCCGTTGTTTTGCTTTGGAAAGCTTCTTCGTGATCAATGGGTGCCCGAGCTGGATCCNNNNGGGCAACCGGTCCTTTGGAGTGCACTGGAGCAAGAACTCACTTGCCACTCGCATGCGGATCCTGAGGGTAGAGAGAGATTTGGCTCAGCAGGCTTGTTGTGAGCCAGCTGCTTCAGAAGGACCACCGGCCATGGAAGTTAGGTTGGTGCTCGAGATCTCCGACGACTTGCAGGTCCACGCACAGGCCCCAGGATGGAGCCTGAACTCACGCATGCAGCCAGTGCACATGGGGATAAACATGGAAACTACATTTGATGGCTCTGCTCGCTTCAGTCATGCTGATTGGCCGTTTAGGACCACACTTCTTTGCCGCGGTGATCGTAGGTATGAAGTCTTTGAGTGCTGTGAAGTTTGGGAAGATCGTCTGGAGTTTGGGTTCGGTGCCTGTGAGAGCAAGGTGTTGACAATCCTTACAAAAGAAGCAATAGAGCCCAATGACCTTGGTACCGTTCTACAGCAAGATCCCGCTCCACGTGGTGAACGTTCCTTTGATGAGCCCCAAATACAGCCCCTGCATTTCCCAGGTCCCGAACCCGAGGAAGTCGCTGAAGAAGCTGGCGGCGAAGCAGCAGACGATCCTGGAGAAGCTGAGCGTGAAGGAGATGTTGCAATGCTTGGTCCCTCTCCTGTTGAGGTTGTAGGGGATGATGAGGAAGTGTTGGTTGTGAACGGCGCGCGCTTAACAGAACTTAGTCCTCTTCGTGAACTTCGTTTGGGGTGTCGCTTTCTTGGCATTTCAAAGAACGGCTCAAAAGCAGCAGTTTGGCAGCGCCTGAAGAAGGAGGTAGCACACAACAAGTTGCAGTTGGAGGTTGCAGCGTCTGAAGCGGTGAGAGCAGAGTTTTCCCGAGATCCTGTAATGCAAGCACGGCCCGCTCCTCCTAGCCCTGAGCTTGTTGAACTTCATGAAGTCACCCACCTTCCTCGTGCTGATTGGTGTGAAGCCTGCATTGCGGCCCGGAGCCGTGAAGACAATTACGATGCAGCCGGTCCCAAACGTGAGTTTCCAGTGATTTCCTTAGATTTCATGTTCGTGAAGACCGATGGAGAGGAAGCTCCACTTGCCACTCATCTTGTCTGTGTTGACTCGCAGTCGAAGTACGTCGTGGCAGTTGCATTGGCCTCAAAAGGTGGCAAAACTTTGAAGCACGCTGTTGAGGAGGTGGTTGGTATGTTGACGGTTCTCGGCTATGCCAAGGTGATTTTGCGCTATGACACAGAGCCGGCCATGAAGCAGTTAGTGAATTCCATTGTAGCCGTGCGTTCGAAGAACAATTTGGCCACAGAGTTGGAGCCTGTGGGCCCCGATTCCTCGGCGCATGGAGCTCTTCGCTCTGAGCGCTACCACCAGACGGTGCGAAACCTTGGGAATTGTCTTCTGAAGACAATAGAGCAGCGTACAGGGCACAAAGCGGAGACTTGGAGCCCTCTTCATTCCTGGGCATATGTGCATGCAGCCTTCTTGGTTACGCGCTTCCATGTGCACAAGGACGGCTGCACGTCCCACGAGCTGGTTCATGGGCGCAAATATGACCAAAAGTTGTG